ATATTTTTTGAAACTTCTCCCTTTTACAGTATAGTAGAACAGGTGCATGGGGTTGGAATTGGACCCGGTGATTCGGCAAAAAAAAGAGGTCAGGTGCTGTTTTCCTTAATAGCAGGGGTCGAAGTAGGCCCGGTTTCTAAAAGAATGAATGGGTGGGTTATGCACAGGTTGCAATTTGGGTAGGCCTGAGTTTTTTTGCACAGGGTTTCGACGATGTGCCCGGACGCGGGACAGCTTGACGAAGTGCGGTTTTTCTGAATAGCTTCTTTCAAGTTGTTTGCAATTCCTATTTAGTCAGGTCTTAGCACATGAAGTCTGTCAAGCGACGCAAGACCCATGGTGAAGCCGGTACGACGTCCGGCCGAAACATGTAGGGTCGCACGCCGAAATTTTCAGCCATAGCTTCAGTTCCTTTTGGTTTCGAAGTGGCTATTGTCACGTCTGGGTAACAACAATACATTTTTTGACGACTTACGGTGCGGGTGTCTCTCTCTCTCTCTCTCTCTCTCTCTCTCTCCTTGCGCACTGATGTGATGATATTGTCGTATGTTATCGTCTGAGGAAATTATCCTCCTCACTCTGGTAGCCTTGGAGTTAACTCGTATTTTTTTGTTTTTGTCATCACACCGCCTTTTTTTTTTCCCGTGTTTCTTTCAGTGCACTGATCTCACGATATGTTACATCTGTGATGTTCTTTCTGTACATTTTAATCTTCACCGTACGTTTGGGTTCCCCGATGGTTCGATCGTCAAGTCACCATCACAAAAACGTCATGGAGAAGATGATGCTCGCGGACGTAGTTGTTATGACAACAGCCAAGACTCTCCTTGTGGGTGCCTACATGATTTGAAAAGAGATCTCTTAATGTTAAACCCCATGAATTATTGTAATTTGGACTTGCCCACAAACACAAACTTCACAAAGTCTATTCGGAGATGGCCACTTCAAGGCAAGTTGCACCAAAAACCCGCCCCTGGTTTGGCATTGGGAAATCGCGGCTTTCCGCGCCAGTAATCATAGCCTACTTCGCTAGAGTTCGGGCATGCAATTGTGGCACCACCATTGCAACGCTTTTCGCGTTACGAAGGCTGATGGTTGGCAATCTAAGTTTTTTTTATCCTTGCAAGGGAGGAATTTCAAGATAACGCGCTCACTTCTGTTTGAGCTGTTTACCGTTCCACTCTGTTGGGTGCTTCGAAGATCGGCCAGTCATGGATCCTGCACACAAGAACGATCCGCACTTATCGATTCACTGCGTACTGCGCCAGCAGCTTCATTACGTTCTTATCATTGCAATTAGATATCAGTCACAGCGCAACATAGTGACATCAAACTGTTTGTTGTTTGCCGTTGTCGGGACTGGTGGGTCCCGAATAACTTCCCACCACTCGAGAGACTGAATATAGACAAATTGTGCACGACAGAGAAATCTAGAAAAAGGAGGAAAGAATTAAAAGCTCAGGTTGACAGGCAGGTAGATTACATATTAAAAAAAATCAGCAAAATAGGAATTGATCAAACACAGAGCAATCAATGCCCCTCGCACATTCTGCACTTTTGATGTTTAGGGAAGCTGTCCGCGCGGAAGCAGTGGCCGAGACTCTTCCAGCGCTAATGGGAAGAGGCGTCACAGGCGTGTGTTTGTGTTGTATTCAGTTTCTTCATCTGAGCCTTGGGCACTGGGACCTTTTTTCTTAAAAAAAAAGAAGAAAAAGAAGAAAAACAAAAAAGTTGTCCTTGCGGCAACGATGGACACGATATTAAAAATTTCCAAAAAAGTATTTTGCTCCCTTGGCCGTTATGCGTTGCGCTTTTGTATGTTGTTCATCAAATCCTCCATTGAGCTAGTGGGAATAGATTCCCACTTCTATCTTCTATTTGCGACCTTGCAATCTCTCCAACTTAAGGAGATAATTTGGAGGAACCGGGACGTGCAACCCCTCTCTGAATCATCTCTCTAATGGGAAGACCACGGTGGAGAAAGGTTACAGAGAGCCATGAACAAATTTAAGTGCATGTCTATTCTCACTAGCTCACAAGAGACTCCGATAAACATCGCACAAAAAGAATAGACACACTTCTGTTCCTGGCCCTGCACCTCCGATAAACATCGCACAAACAGAATAGACACACTTCTGTTCCTGGCCCTGCATCCTCTCTAACAAAGTTATAAATTGGAGGAGGTTGCATGGCCATGCAACGAACAGAAGTGCGAAACTATTGTCACTAGCTCACAGGACATTTTGATAAACATCACACAAAAGAGGAGCGCATCCCTCATCCATTTCACAACGTATTTGAGGGATGACTGTTACGCAAAGTTGGGTAAACTTGTGCCCCTAATAGTTTACGAGGGGTGATAACAGTTTTTTTGAGGAGTTTTGGAAAGTTTACGAGGTTTATTTGAACCACCAGTACATGTCAACCATCTGCGCCGAACCCCTTCTGGAGGCTGTCCGCTGTCCGTTTATTTCGCCCACTGCACACGAGCCTCCTCCTAAATTTTTAGAGAGGCTCCATCGGGGAATCTCAATTTGGCCGGGGCCATGTACTGGTGCTTTAAACAAGAAGCAGGATGAGATGTGATGTTTCACAATCGATGGAACAACAATCACTCGTCAATCTAGCCTTTTTTTTTGTCTTCAATCCAGCCATGCATTCGTATCGAAAGGATGACATGAAAAAAGGTTTAACACCTCTCCTCGACTCTTACCAAATGTGTGTCGATCAATCAGGCTGGAGTGATCGAACGAACCGCACAATGCGGAACACCAATCGATTTTGCTCACTTGAATGGTTTTCAGACGTACGTACTCTGCTCATCGTATTGTGCTGTAGTTGATTTTGTGTCTGTACGATGTGGAATCGCCAATATAGAGTACTACAAATCCTTGTGGAAGAAATTGGTTGCTGCCCCACATCGTGCAGTCTGTTGGATCGTTGAATTCTGTTGGATCACTGAAAGCAATGATACAGTCCTTCGGGACATCCGTTAAAATTGGAACGATACAGAGAAGATTAGCATGGCCCCTGCGCAAGGANAAAAAAAAAAAGAAAAAAAAAAAGAAAAAAAAGAAAAAAAAAAAGAAAAAAGAAAAGAAAAAAGAAAAGAAAAGAAAAAAAAAATCAATGATACAGATATGCGAAAAATGTTGAACCTTTTTAGGCACGGTGTCCTTTTCGCATAAATGCTTGAGAACTGGATCAAAGCAAAAGCCGCTAGATTGGTCAGGAGGAGTTGTGTCATTGCATTATGCGTAAAACAACGCACCCTGCTTATCCTTCAAAACAAGCCTCAAGTTTTCCACAACTCGTAAAGAAAACCACGATGGTCGACCAGCTTTTCGTACATTTGAGGTGGTTGTTCGACTTGCCTCCCTTCAACGGGGGTACAGTTTGACGTAAGAGTGATCCACGAAATACGTTCCGATGCGCGCACAAGACACGCCCCTCTTTCACAAGGATGCATGCTGATCCTATTTCACTTTCCGAATACACGTTCAATGTCGCCGACTCTTTCCTCCAATCTGCACATTGGTGCTGTCCTCTTTAGAATGCAAGATGACAATTAGACATACCCTTCTATAGCCGCCTGGTTACAAGGTCCCCATGAAGTCAAAGGCATTGCGTTTTGCAATACAGATTGTGATTTTTGAGATATAGATTGTGATTTGCTTGGCAACCTCGCAATTCCGAGACACCTGCCTGCACTTTCCCATAATTCCCGGTCACATTCACAGTAAATTACTAATTACCCACACATCTCTTTTACCTCTGCCAATCACCACTTTTAAGCCACCAGTACTTTCTGCAGTCGTGCCCGTTAACGCGCAACGATTTTAGGAAACGTACGGGGCACTACACAAACCAAATTCGTCCGACTAAAACGATTCCAAATTCATCCGACTAAAAACATTTGTAATCTACTTTCTTTTCCACGGGCAATAGCTGGGTCAAGTATGGTGGTTCAACCTATACTTGTGTGCGGACGCCGGACTCACAACCCCCCCTCCAAATCGATTTCTGCATTACCTCACAAGGGGTCTCGAGGAGTTGGCTGTATTACGCCTTCGTGTGCGAGGAATGGCGGCTCGGTCGAATGCCTTATGAGTTTGCGCATGAGATTCTGTCCATTTAGGTGGGCCTCTTTGTGAACATTATCTCGCATTAAAATATGGGCAAGTCTTTTTCCAGCCCAGCAGTATGGAGCCACGTGACAGTTCGTCGATGTGGGGTGAGAGTCATCCCTCCCGGTTGCAGCGTCGAAGCAAATTCTGAGTCAAATATTGAGATCACTTCGCTGGTGGCCTCACCACTTGATCCCGATGTCGAGGCCCAATTTCCCGAATATAGAGATCGTACGTACACTACGATATATACAAAATCCACCTTCAACCACAGGACTACAGCATTAACCGCGCTAACAGCAAAATCGTTGAGAACTGATAACGCACCAAATTTTCTTTCACCCGTCACACCAGTACAATACATTCTCTCCAAAAGAAGACCGACCGTACGGAATCCTTTTCAACAGATGTTTGAAAAAAAAAGTTAAAAAACCTCTTCAGTGTCGCACAAAAGTCCCGTCCGTCCACAACTTCACACAACATTATCGTGTTGACGCACACAAAACAATAATCATTTTTGCTGCCACTATCTTTTTCAAAAATCTCAGAGAGAGAGAGAGAGATCTTACAGACCCTGCTGCTCTCGAATACCCGACAAAATAAGAGAAAAAGACACAAAATTTGGCGACTTAACACTACTACAGTGTTCATATACACAACGTCCGCACCCTGAATTTTCGTATCTGACAAAGTCCAAAGACGATTCTAACGACCGAATGTGATCAACCAACCCGTATACGTGACAGTTTCCCGTCATGCAGCTCGCCCCCCGAAACCATAGCCTTGTTTGTGGGCTCGGGAAGGGAAGCTGAACGCAAACATTATCATACATTTCCCTCTCAGTCAATTTCATAGAATTGGATATCTTATTATCTGTCGGTATTGTATTTATCTCAAATGAGACTCGATCGTATTTTATCTAAGATTCCAAATCACATTCCTGACTACCAAAATCGAGATTGGTTTACAACGTACAAGCAATGAATGTACATATATATAAATGCGATGAACCTGGTAGCAGTGTAAGACCAGATCAAGTATAGCAGCCATCACCTTTGCGAACGCTCGCTCGCTCGCTCACACACTTGGTGCTTGCCGCCTCCAACCAAACAATGCGATGAACCCCCATGAAAAGAGGGGTGGTGGTGAAATTTGACACCTGCAAATCTTTTTTCTTGCATGCAACGGACACGAACACCACAGTCACCTTCCAAAAAAATTTAAAAAATTGACAAAAAACATTTGAAAAAATTGAAACTACAAAAACTGCGCTGCGACTTTTCACAACACAACCCCCTCGCGAAACCCCACAAAACATTATAACCAAAAAAGACCCCACCCGAACCGCCAACGGGCCTGCAGCTGCCGCAACAAGCGCAAATTCAATCCAGCCCAAAAAAAAAAAACCACCCTAACCGCCCTTCTGCCAACGGCCCTAAAACTGCCAAAAAAGCACACAAATGCAACCAGCATAGCCCCAATCTCAGTTAAATGGCTTTCCCGCTCCCACCTTTCGCCAGCTGGCGGGCAAACGTCTTGTCACACCCCCACACAAAGACCGAGGGGAAAAGAGTATAGTTGGAAGGGGAAAAAAAAAAAAACACTCACCTGGGGGTATAACCTACCCGCTGTGCGGGCTGATGGCTCGGCAAATTTCTCATCTTCCTCTCTCGTTACGATCAGCCCCCTTCCTAATCCCTCGCCCAAAGCCACCACAAACAAAATAAAACGATACCTTCGAAACTAACAGCAGTTTCTTCTACCATCTGCGCAATCCCTTGCCCACCCCTCCCAACTCTACGCCCAACGATTTCTTTCAAGTAATGAACACAAATTTTGCTACCTAACCTCACTATCCCTAGCAAGAGACGCGTAGCAAACTGCAGTCTGACCACATTTCTTAGGCTGCAGATTTCCGGCATTCAGCTCACTCATAGCCGTTCACAAACACAAACCAAACACATATAGCCCATCAAGCACACATATTGAATCGCTCCCCAGGCGTCGCATCTGACGCTGCCAGCGAGCAGAGCCGAGGGGAGGGAAGAAATCAAGGTGCAGATCTTGCCCAGTTGTTGTTGCAACTAAAGCAGCCAATCCATAATTTGTCATGCCATCCTGCCGACGCTCACATCTCTGAGACAGCAATGCAAATTACACGCCGAATCGAGCAGCGTACAAAGGCGGGGCTGCCAAGAGAAATTGTACAATCAGCAGAAATAGCACAAAGCGGGCGAGCCAGGCAAATCAAACCCCAGGAGAGAGAGAGAGAGAGAGAGAGAGAGAGAGAGAGAGAGAGAGAGAGAGAGAGAGAGAGAGAGAGAGAGAGAGAGAGAGAGAGAGAGANGAGAGAGAGAGAGAGAGAGAGAGAGAGAGAGAGAGAGAGAGAGAGAGCAAAGATGCAAACAAGTAACAAGAGAGACGAGGCAGAAAGGTAGGAGACAGAATTGAGGAACATTACCAGGCTTATAGATTGTACAGCAGCCGCGTGATCTGCATCCGTGTGTCTCAACGGATTGATTGATCAAGAGGCAGACCATATCCATATCAAAATTTCTGAGGGCATTTGTAGATAGGTAATCGACAACAACAGGGCACAGTGAATTTCCATGCCACTGGTGTCCCGCCCTGTATACGAGTTGCATGGCCGCAGACTTGGACTGCGAGGGCCCATTACATCTGTGCTGCAACTGCAGACCTGTATACAACGAACGCCATAAGCGTGCTTGCCTTCTCAGTGAAGGGACTATGCTGGTGATTTCCACTGCGCAATCGACCTTGAGCTTTGGCTGCTTTCCACAATCACAATCGACCTTCCACTGTTTGATTTCCACTGTTTCACATGCTCACGATGTGCATTACCACCAGCGCTGTGTAGCAGCTAACGCAGAGCTGTGCTTGCTTAAGATATACGCACAGCAACAACACAACGAGGCAGCGCCGCTAAGTCCATACAATTCAAAATCAAACAGTCTTCAGTCACACGGACTCACACCCATAGCTGGCCATAATAATCCCTCCCCCAATGGGGAACTCTTTCCATCCCATCGGGGGGGGACTGAAAGGTAACAAGATCACAATGCGCCGCACTTTCCCCCCCCCCCCACTTAATTCTACTACCTAGGTTGGCTGCAAGCAACAGAAAGAGGCCGACGCCTCCCGTGCACTCTTTCGTCCCTCGCAACAAACGCACGCTGCGCTCTGTTCCCTATTTCTGCGGGACATACAAATCACGATACATCAACGATAAATCACGATACATCAACGATCAACAGACACTGGTTACCAGCGGAATCAGTGTTTGCCTGCACCTCTCAATCAGAAGCTCTCTCTCCAAAGAATACTAAACGGCCAGAACTACTTTCACACCTCCCAACACAACCACCTCCTCCCTCAGAACCACTTCATGAACCAGCCAGCCCCCACCGAAGTGTCACACCCGTACTAACTCCTCCAGTACCCCAAACAAACAATCTACTCCAATGAAATTGCTTTCGATCAACGTAAGAAACTTCCAAGGAAACTTAAAAAGCGAAACCAAACAAACAATAAGAAAAAAATCATCACTCTTTGCTGCTGCCACCCTCCCTCCCCCGCTTTCCCATCCCAATGCCTTTGTAACCCTGGTGAAAGCAGCCCTGCGTACTAGTGCAGCGCATGTACCCACACATGTACGACTTCCGTCCCTTCCCTTTCCCTCCATTCGCAGTCGCAGTCCCGTTGACCATACCTTATCTCTTCACCCACGCCGCACCCATGCCGCATTCAGCCACACAGACATGCATCGCATACTGACCCATCCTCACATGTGTGATCTTTGCTCCCTACAAAACCACTCCGCATTGCCCCCCCTGACTCTACACAGTCAAGTGTGGAATCGCATATTCTCGGAGCCCTCAACCATCTCTTGCCGTGTGGAGAACTTGACAATTTTTGCTCGTATAAGTATGATCTTCTGACTTGGCATGCTTACCATCTTTCTCTCCTCACTCCATTCCCCTGCAGTCCATCGCTACCATCTTGTCTGCCAGTCATTCACTCTGCCGCTTCTCCATCCGCTGTAGCTCGCCCTACATATCGACATACAAATGACCATGGAAGTCACACCTCCAAATTCATACAAAGAGTTAAACAGCGGGAGACCTCGTCTCTTCTATCTTTCCTCGCCGGACAAACGCTGCACGACTAATAGTACCCCTAGTGTTAGTAGTAGTACTTCATATATACTCATTATATGATTATAGTCATTAGTTCACCACTATTCCCCCTTTTCCAACCCCTCCTCCTCCTGTACATTGTCGTCACCGATGCAGAGGAGTTGGTTGACCATAGCATGAGACGCACCCAACCATAAGATACAATGCGAATTAATATCGCTTGCATCTTACGAGGCCGGTGACCATAGCATGAGAATTAATATCGTTTGCATCTTAAGAGGGACCCAACCAATGTCAGAGATGTCGGCCCCCGAACGAGCACCAGTCACAGGAACTAGAAAACCAATATCGCATACATCTCAAAGGCACACAACCATCAGAGATGTCTGTCCCCCGAACGAGCACAAGTCACATGAACTAGAAGATCTCACTGAGAATGAGAAAAGATTGGTGACAAATTACAGACGGACGACTGCTCTCACCCCTTGGATGTCACGTTGTGTTTCCCGCACGCTAAAGAACACAAGACAGGTCGAACGGCATCTGTGTATACTGAGCGAAGCAATGCTAGTCTTCTGGATCAATCACTCCCTCCCTCAGTGTACAGCATATAGAGTGCAGTCCCTCCACTCATCACCATTGTGCACACAAAACGGTTGAAAAACCTCCTGACATGCATTTACGTACCCCGGTAGCTTGCAGTGCTACCCACGAAGAGCGACGAATGCATGATCACTAGTACAACAGCAAAGTAGCCCGTATGCCCATCCCCGTCACGGAGAGACTGGTTGTCTGAACATCTAGTTGTTCTTTTGCCCCCAGGGTCCGTATGGCGACTTGCAGAGCCTAGGGTACTTCCGTCGCCTAAGGCGGGGGGTTCTGCTCCAATGCCATAGCGACGGTTCTGCTCCAATGCCATAGCGACTGTATAATAAAGCAATTCGCTTGTATGATAGTGAGAATGCACAAGGCACGATGGCACGATGAATGCATCATCCCTGGGACAGCAGTGAGATAAGCAGTCTCTCTCCACAAAGAGGGAGCTATGCCTGTCCACCTTGTGATCAGAATGCTTGCCTGAGATCTAGCTGCCCCTTTGGATCAGGACCAGTGTGGGCAACTTGAAGACCGTAAGGTACTTCCTTCGCAGGGTGTGGGTTCCGCTTCATCGCTGTCGCGACCATAAAATCAAATGATTCAGTAGCATGATGTGGGGAGTATGCACCGCTGTAGACACAGAGGCAGGCCAGCCATGCCCGATTGCATCCCGCTGCTGCTCCCTCTGCCACTGCTGCAAATAGTGAAACAACGGTGTTCGATCACCTTGTGCAGGATCAACCGGTTGGCACCGGTCATAAGCCTATGTCTCGCACGGCGTTATACCGTCAATGTCTTCACACAGGGTTGCAGACCCATGTCCCACATTACTGCATGGCAGAACCGCATCAGCACCATGGATGTCAGTGGTCACTGGACCCACACCACTGCGTACTGGAACTGAGATCTCAGCTCCTTCAGGCGCCCGTATCTGCATATACACAAAATGCAACATAACCAACACACGAACAGAGGCAGGCGACACCTATTCCGCTCTTCCAGAGGGCAATCGTTTCCCTTTCATTACCACTAGAACAGAGGGATGCAATCGCTACAAGGGGGATGCGACAACTGTTCTGCTTCCTTTCCTGAGGGCCATTTGCTTTTGTTTACTCCTCTTTAGCTTTCCTCCGGCGAAACTGATACCCACACAAACTTCACAAATTGAACTCACTTCCACATTTCACTGAAAAGAAGAGCTCAAAGTACTTTCGAAATCACGTCCACCCGTATCACATTTGGACATACGAACCCGCCGCAAATACACAACAAACAGAATGCAAGAAACAACCCAAGCCACAGCAGCTTTCCCATTTCTTCTTTGGAAACGCAAATGCATTCATGAATCTCTTAATTGCAGCTTTTCACATTTTCTACCCTCGTCATCATTCCTCCTGCTCCTCGCGTTCTCCTCTGCCACCATCGTTCCACATCACCATCGCCGCAAACAATGCCACACTTCATCATGCTCCTCATCCACAGCTTTGCAACATCCAATATATCACAAAGCCTCTCCAAATCGATGCATTTAGATGCCTGAAAAAAAATAAAAAAAAATAAAAAAACGTAGAGAGAGCGGGATTTCGATGCTTGATGTAGAGAGAGGGAAAAGCAAAAACAAACGGCCTTTGAGAATCTCGCGAACCAACAGCTTGTTACCTTCCACCCCTGCAAAGTACTCAGTAGGAGTTCATTGTCACGTCAATCAAATCACTAAAGCCAGAGTGACCGATCAACTAGTAGACATCACAGCTTCCCCTTCACTCCATCTCACTAGAAAAATATAGAAAGAAACTGGAGCCCGCCGCCTGATCCAAGCTTGCAAAGTGGTAGGATTCCAACCTCCCCTCAAAGGGTGACCAACGTAAAAACTACAACAAATGAAAGAGTAAGCCTTCAGGTTATATACAAACTCACCCCTCTCATTCTCTCCATGGGAGAGTTTCTTCGGTCGGACAAGAGTACCGTCGATGGCATTGACATGCCTCCCGATACAACAATCTCTGTCAACACACCAGCACAACACACACAGAAATCAGTCACACAATGAGCACCAACAGCACAACTCAGACAGCAATCCACTGCAACACACAGAAATCAGTCACATAACGAGCACCAACAGCACAACTCAGACAGCAATCCACTGAACAAGACTCCTGGTTCTTCCTTCTGCTTCAGAAGTCTGGCTTGCAGCCAAGATTGCTGCAACCCAATGTCCGCAATCGGCCTCCTGTCACGACACGCCGCACGTGTTTTCTTGATGTGTTTTGATAGCGTACCACTGACCTTTGCACACTGCCATCCTCGAAACCATACCCCACACAACACACCCCTCAAGGCGATGAAATTCACACACACCACTGAGCACGTGTTTCTTCCAGTCAAATCTCATACATGCTCGTCCGTTTTTGCATTTCCCATCCCCACCAACCTCTTGCTCTCTCAGCGTCCTCTGCTTTTGTATATCCTACGGCATAAACCGGCCGAGGCAGATAAATCTGCCATCCACCAGGATGCCAGAATAAGCAAAAACATATTAAAAGTACATCACCCCTCAACCTTGCCTCCCTCCCCAGTTGGAATGACACAGACTGTGACTGACATGCAGGGGGCATTCCCACACAGACTCGATGCCCTGGAAAGTTATATCTTAAACAACCAGTACATGGCCCCAGGCATCTGGAGAACCTGTTTTGAGCCTCTCCCAAAATTTAGGAGGCCGAGCGCCATAAGATAAAAAGAATCGGCAGTGGGCGGCCTCCAAAACGGGCCCGCTGGAAATATCTGGCATGTACTGGTGCTTCGAACCACCAGTACATGCGCCCAAGCAACAGAACAAAGGCACAGGTCACAGCCACATGCACGCCGCGACTTCTTTTGTTGGCTGGGAAATGTACCGGTGGGTTTAAAAACTTTAAATCCAACTTCCAAGCATCATTTCCCTGAAATAGCATCTTTAATCCATGCTCTACAGCAGAATGGAAAGGCATGACCACGACGAATCAGAATGATCCCTAAAGCTACACAGCAGGTGAAGGACACATCAAAAACCCCAGTGGAAAAAGTAGGCAAGAGATTTTGCGAGGTTCCTGTGCCAACAACGCAGACTAGATGACCCAATGCAATGACACAGGCAAGATTTGCACTCTTCTTCTTCTTCTTCTTCTTCTTATTCGTTTGCAGCTGCTCCTGCTGTTGTCCATGTCTCCATCTGCATGTAAAAACAGACCAGAAATCCCCAACTGCAGAAGCTTGAGCAGGGCTCCTCGGCCAAGGACAGACGAGGCATAGTAAAGGCTTGAGGGAGGGGGGATCGTTTCGAAAATCTGGGGAGGTGATGAAACGAAAACAAAACAGTCACAAAAGAAAACGACCACAATAAAAAGATAGAAAAGAAGAAGGTTCCCCAAAAAGGCAACAGAAAAGGAAAAGGCAACAAAGAAGTCATTCGGGGCATCCATTGAAATTGGAACAATACAGAGAAGATTAGCGTGGCCTCTGCGCAAGAATGACACAAACATAAATCAAGAAATGGTCCAAATTTTCGCCCAAAAAAAGGTGGGCGGCAAAGACGAAGGCGAACCAGAAGGAAGAGGCAACAAACGAAAAACCTAAGACGGCCAAAACAAAACAACACAGTGAATCAAAATTGCTCTCGGTTCTACGTTTTGTGGCTTCTACGCTTTTCCAAAGACCATGCAAAACTGACATAGGCAGGTGCAAGAACGAGCTTAATAATGGGATGCCGGTGGACTGTCAGCAGGCATCGCACAATGCTTTTCCACGCGGGGAGGGCGAAACAGCAGTGTCGAGAGGTGTTGCAAAATACGTTGTGTGAATGCAATGCAATGATAGAGGGAGTGTAAATGGTCGGTACATACTACACAGTGAATCATACACATGCGGAGACGGCAGAGAGTGTCAAGGTCAGTTGAAACCAACTACACACGAATGGGAAGAGGGGGATTGGGGCGATCACACACAACGTTCGCATGGCACAAGCTCCATTTTGTGTATTGTAATAAAAAACACCGTGTTTTTGGAAGATAGCACTACATCACATATGACATGCCGCGTTGGCCGACCTCCAACAAGCCTGGTCTATAAAATTTCTGATTGGGTGAGGATCACAGCTGTCAGACTGCTTCCTGGAGGCAAGTAGAACATACCAATCCCTTCACGAACCGAAAGATTAGGTCTTATGATATCTTGAGTGGGTATCAAGAAGATGTCCCCAATGTAAAGGTGATTGGTAGGGATATAGACACTACAGAGGTCTTCCTCTCCTGCATCACTCTGCCACAGCACAGCACAAAAAGTACAAAACAGTGGGGCACCGAACAAATAACCAGCAGCATTCAGATGACACGACTTCCGCTGCAGCATGCACAACCTTCGTTACATCCTTCGGACTAAGAGAAGGCAAAAATTAGCAAAAGCAAACCAAACAAACAAATCTCATCCAGCCTAATGCAGCCTGCCTTATTGCCACAAGTCCTATCATGAGAAGCTAATTCTCAACTATTCACAGCATTGCACACAACAACCAATTCATGCCATGCACAACAAGCAAACGGCACGCACGCATCCTCGTTTGTGTCTCTCAAAGAGTCACTGCTGCTCAAACCTCAAGTCCCCAAGACTACAATGCCTACCATACAGTGTTACGACAGCTTGTTGTCTTCCTACCTTCTTCCCCCAAATACAACGTACGTACGGTCATTATAGCTGTATCTAGACTGAAAGATGCCTAAAATACAAGTATAATGACCGTACGTTGTACTCGGGGGAAGAATGTAGCTCTTGGATATCATGTGACAACCACCACTGCTCAAGGGGATGCAAAGCAAAACCCGCAAACTTCGGAATCAAAAGCGACTTCCTCTTCCTGTGCTGGCAGCCGGCCGCACGCTCTTCCTGCTACAATAGCGCCGAGTAGCACCGAAAGTCTGCCAAGACCACCACATGGAAAAGAATCACTATCATCGCTACCATCATCACACGATACGGAAAAGAATCATCATACCAGACCCAAGGAACTCTCTCAAGGAGGGCTAAAAAAAGGCGGTTGAACCCGCCTAGATTTCCATCATGTGTGGGGTCTCAACTACACCACTCAGATTGCACAACACCCCCCCGCTTCACGGGCAAGTGGTACATGGATAGAACCTCCATGCACTTCAATGACGCAGTTCTGAAACGACACTAAGGTTATGCGTTTCCCTGTTCACGCTGCTGGTCGATTACCGTCCTGACATGACCTTAGAGAGAGTTCTCCTCCAAGCTCAGGCTGAGAAAGTCAACGATGATATCAACAGCAATGTGTATGTACTTGTAGAACCAGCACTGGTTCTGTATCTACGAGAAGCACACGACCCCACTGAGAAGGGGTGTAGAACCAGGCAAAAACGGTAATTCTGAAAAAAAAAAAAAAAATCAGCCGCCTCAACAACAAGATCCACTGGTTCCAGACCCCCCCCTCACATTTCTATCCAGAACAAAATGATGGTCTAATAGGTCTACACCCCCCCTCACATTTCTATTCATAACAGGCGCAATGCTACAGTGACTTATGCTGTTGTGCTCCCTTCTTACCCAACTGTTCTATGCTGGGCCTTCGTGACATTACGCACTTCCTCAACAATGCCCCAAGCGAAAACAACCCCCACTGAAAATCCTGATCTCTAATCGAATAATATACACCCCAGTATCTAAATGAAAATGATAAGCCGGCTCACCAACAACATCCTTATGTCCGACAAGCATTTTTTTCTCGACATGACCCATTGTACCATATGCCACATGAGGATGACCTACGCATGATGACACCCGGCCTAAGGGACAGGCCACATGGGACTATGTCGAAAACCACCTGATGTTATGTCCATGCTACCGTCTTCACCCGAATAGAACGCCCGGTCATTATTGCTGCATCTAGACTGCAAGTCAGACCAAATGCGGCTACAATGACGGGGCGCTCTATTCGGGTGAAGACGCTAGCAAAGCACAACCATGACCTTGATTATTACCAGGTTCACACTTCCTCCTAAGGAGGAGGATAGCATCAGTGGGGCCTGACCCTCAGACTCGAGTTCCGACAGAATGCCTTGGATTTTCAAAGGCTGGACATCGACACAGCTTAATGAGGCCTGCCTGTGGCATGCTGGGGCCAGCAACACCAGGGGCCTGGAAGGCCCGCACATCCATTTGGGTAGACTCCTCGGCCGCCTGGGGCCTTTCGAGGCTCACAATTGGCTGAGAGTGCCTTGTACATCAACCGGCGTCTAGGTACGGGGGATTTGTCAGACAGAAATGTGGATATTTCGTCTATTCTGAGTGCATCTTATTAATTTTGTATGCACCATTTACCATCGCTGCATATTTTATTCATTTCAATTCGGTTTTTTTCCTGTGTCAGCTCGTGTTCTCCAGCCCTGGACTGTGTCGTTTCAGCATTGGACCGAGCAAGCCAGGTCTGGAATGTGTTGTTTCAGCATTTGTCCGAACAAATGTAGATTTGTCCTGTTCTAACACCGGCCCGGCGGTAGGGAAGCACTGAATAAGGATCGGCAAGAGAGAGCTATAGCGGAGGAGTCCACTCACCTGGGGCCATAGCTTGGAGGTCTGCCACCGGCCATAGCCAGTCTTCTTCTTCAAGGCACTTGCAGTGTGTCGCAGCTCAAGGATCTGCCTTTCACAAGTCAGTATTTTCTCCCGAAAAAGAGAGACTTGGCATCGTTGTACTGGGAGCATAGATTCCTGAGCAGATATCTGTTACCCATGGTTTGGAGGCATGTTGGAAAAGAGGAGATTTTAAGGTGGAGGACATGGTTGCATCCCTGCCAACCGCCGACCGTATTGCAGCCGACCAGTAGGGTCGACCGGTCGGCGGTCTGCCGACCAGTCAGGAAACAACCATCCACTAATTTTTTTTCAGATCTGAGTTGGAAGCTGTACTGCGCTTGCTGAGTACAGCCCAAATCCGCTGAGAAACTTTTGGGGATGGGGGGTTGGGGGTGGGGTGTATAGGTGGGTATAGGGGCTGTCTCTTATACACATCTAGATGTGTATAAGAGACAGGGG